AAAAAAGCCAGTACATCATAGAGACCCGAGTAATATTTACTTGTTTACTTTTTCTTCCTTTCTCTTCCTTCCTTTCTTGGCGGTACAAGGGATAAAGCCCAGGGTCTTCCCATTGAACTGCATTCCTAGCCCCTTTCGCATTTTATGTTTTGAGACAGGATCTTGCTAAATTGTCCAAGCTGGGCTCAAACTTGCAATCTTGCCTGAGGGTCTTAGAGTGCTAGGATGATAAGGAGCACCACATGCCTGGCCTTTGATCTCTTTTCTGACAGTTCATCACCTTGTTTGTCCCTGCTTTTGCTTTCACTGGAGCGTTTACCAGTACAGCAGTGCTTTAACCATGAATTTAAGGAGAAAGTCCATCTCCCTTCTCAGATGCAGTCACTTGTCTGTCTTCATAGATAACAACCAGGCATAGACAGGTACATGTCTCTATATATTAAAGAAGGCTATTGTCAGCTTTATGTGATAAATGAGGGAACTAAAGCTTAGTGAACTGGTACTCCCCCAAAACCCTACAGGCAGATGTTAATGAAGCTGGAATTTTAAACTAACCCTGGCTTCCTTGCTCTTTCTTTGGGAAATAAAGACCTGTCAGTCAGCTAACAGTTTTGTGAATATCATGTCTCTGTTCCTGCAGAAAAGTAGAAAGGAACCCTATTCACCATCACTGACCCCCACAACACCTTCCAAAAAGAAGAAAAATTATTTTTTAACATAGGTAAAGTTACTTCAGGAAAACAACCCCCCTCCCCCCACACACAGAAGAACATTTGGTTCCATTTCACAAACGCCTATCTGTATTAATAATTTAAAACAACCAAAGTCTTTACTTAAAACTCTAGAAAGCCTTTTCCCAAATCATCACTAAATCTGATTGGCAATTTTGTTCTTAGGGCCAGGCTTTTCTTTTTAGTTAAGTTCAGTGATGGTGAACTTTTTAGAGAAGAGCGCCCAAACTGCAACCCCAAACCCACTTATTTATCACAAAATGCCCACACTGCTATTAATCTTGAATACTGAGGTTTTAGGTTAGAGAAACACAACTGTTATCTGATGTGTGGCTGCTGGGGTGACTTGGCCTGAGTACCGACAGAGAGAAGAGCTCTGTGTGCCCACGTTAGCACGCGTGTCATAGGTTCATCGCTACTGGTTTAGAATAAAAAATTTAACAGCTTACTGCTTGTATTTTACTTCCTTACCAATATAGAGAAATGATTTCTATATTGCATTACTGAATGAATTTCCTTTCTAGGTTTATTTTAATTAGAAAGCTATAATGTCATTTCCCTTGAACTTCTATATTTCCTTCCTCATACGGCAATAGCTTTTCTAAGAATGCACTAAGCTTATAAAAATCTAAATGTGCTCATTTTCTTTTCTCCAGGGTGAAAAAAAGAACTTCATCCTGCCAGCTCCTGATCTAGTCACTACCTAAAATTCATCTTTAGATTGCTTTAGTATAGACTTTTTAAACTGGCTTTTAAAAAATTGTAGTGCTTCATAGTGGACAGTTTAAAACAGAAAAGTTAAAGAAAACACACTTAAATCAGGAAACAACTATTAAAATAAATACAAGCAAATACTAACAGAATGCTTTTCTTGATAGTTCCCAAGCACTTGTATCTTTAGACTACCTATAGTTGCTATTCATAACGTGAATGTTCTGACTTGAATGCTGGTTGATATTTTCATTTAGGTTAAGTGATACATTTTGAGACAAAGATTTCTATCTTGACATTTAATCATTCATCAATAATATGAGTGACTTCTTTGCTGAACTTGATAACGGTTTTCAAATACCAGAAAGTAATGCCTCATTTTTTGTGCTATTCACAATGAAATAGCTACATACATGACCCCTTTTATGTGTGTGTGTGTGTGTGTGTGTGTATTTTTTGTCTTTTTTTTTATTTTTTTTTTGGTACCGGGGATCGAACTGGGGTCCTTGTGCTTTCAAGGCAGGCGGCAGCACCACTGAGCTAAATCCCTGGCCCCATGACCCCCTTTTAAACTGAATCTACACTTAATAACATTTTCTCCATCTCTTTCTTAAAGTCTAGAGTGACAAGCCATAAATCAAGTCCTAGTTTGGCCAAATACAGTGCTATGCATCTATAGTCCCAGTTACTCCAGAGGCTGAGGTAGGAGGATTGCTTGAATGCAGGAGTTCAAGGCCAACCTTAACAATACAGCAAAATCTCATCCCAAAACCAAACAAAACAAACTCTAGTTTGTACCATTTGCCAATTTTTGTTGGCAGTTTTAGGTGAACCCTTCTACCAAGCTGATTTCAAGTCACATGCAGTTGGGAAGACATTCCCAGTAGTAAACCATTACAGAGTTCAATATACTACATAAACTCAAAAGCATGTGGAACACTACAATGTAAAATAATAATAATTAGAACTGGAGACTGGATAAAGAAGATGTGGTTTTTCTATAAAGTGGAGTACTACTCGGACATAAAGAATGAGAAACTCGAAACATTTATAGCTAAATGGATGCACATTGAGGCTATACTCAAGTGAAATACATAGGACACACTTGAGTAAATACCCAATAGTTTCTCTTGTGTGAAAAACTAAAAGTGTCAATCAGGTTCAAATGGAATAATTGATAGTGTGAAAAGGGAAGAAAATGGCTAAACGGGAAGTGGGAAGGGGAGGGGAAAAGAAAAAATGTGAAGAAAAGAAAGATATAAAAAAGTCTTTGTAAATAAGGAAGGGTCAAGGGGGTGAAGGGAGCGCAGGAGTATGGGGAAAAAACAAGAACCAAGATACATCATGTAAAGGTACAAGATCCCAACGATAAATGTATCTCTATTGTTTGTTTTAAATGTACCAATAAACTTAACAGGAAAAAATAATAATTAGAAAGTGATGAACTTTAGTATTACTTTTGTTTTTGAAAAAATAATCTTACTGTAAATTTTTATGATTTAATTTCGAATGTTGGCCGTATTTAACAACCATCTTGCAAAATTTCTGAAAATTTAATGATTGGTTCTCACAAGCTGGTACGAGCCAGATCCAGGGCACCCACTGGCTCACATTTTGGAAACCCAGAGTTGAATGATATCTGTGAGTAGTACCTGCAACGTCACAGTGCTGTGCTCTACAGAGAAGGAAGAAGAGGATGTGACAATCCGATTGGAATCTCCTGAAAGAAGTAGATGATGTCATTAGCATTTTCCAGACCTCAAAGGACGGAGAGTTGATTTACACTTGTACCACCCGAAAACCCCAGTAACAACTCTGACTTCATCTCTGCCCGGCACCTTTGGTGTGGGTAACTCATCCTTGTCACACTCTCTGGGGCCTCAGCAACCACTTTTAAGAGCTACAAAACCCAAGGCTAAAAGAATGTGCTTCCTGTTCCCTTGTCCTGCCCACTGGGAGCATCTTCCCTGTAGAGTACACAATTGTGATCGTGTCCCTTAATACATACAAGCCTACCCAGCCTCTTGGACCTGTTTGCTGGGAGGTCAAGATTCACGCATCTTCTATTTCCAGACATCCACAGGCTTCCATCATCACTGCTTGTCCCATTGTATCTTTAGCACTTTTGCTCTGTTTATATGAGAGGATAACATAAGATTTTCCAGAAGGTTTCATGTGGAAATGCATATTCTTTCTTCCCAGGAT